TATTTGAAAAGAGGATGTGGGGTTTTAAAGGGTGGTCACCTAGTACCACCTTCTGGCTAAGCAGTAATTTTTGATTCCTTTCCCTCCACAAATTTGTACTCGAGTAAATATTATGATTTTGGCGCCACCTGCCGGATCGTTTTTCTGAAAACAAATACAAACAGCAGTTCCTGGAAAATAGGAATTCTAATCACTCTTGGAAACAAAGTAGCTAGAAATCCTGCTTCTAAGAATTATTCACATATTATTATAAATAACTGGGCTTTCTGTTTATTGGTATGGAGAAAGGTCCTATTATGTGCCCTTTTGGTGACTCATTATTTCTTCTTTTACAATCCCCATGAAAATTTTAACCACGTAAGAAATTAGTCTCACATAACTCACGAGGAAAACAAACTAATACTTTAGCATATTTGAAAAGATTATGACTTAAATCTTAAAATTCTAAAAAAATAACATTATCCCCTAGATGGGGAGAGGGAGGAGGGAAATGGGGTGGGTATAAGCGTGATGTTAACCCCACACAATGCATGTAAATCAGTCTGTACTGCAAACCTGTACTAATAAAAGTGAAATTTGAAAAGAAAGTGGAGATGCAGGGTAGCTGTATCATAAATTGCTTATTCCAAATCAGAACACACACACACACACACACACACACACACACACACACACACAAATTAGGGCCAAAGCACCTTTGCACTGAAAATCTTGCTTTTTCTGCTCTGTTCTGGGTAAATGTGGAAAGTACATAAATGTAATCTTCACAAAGCCTATTAGAAGATTTTCTAACTCTGATGAATACCGATGCTTGTCAAAACTTTACAACTCTTACCAAAAAATCAGTTTATTAACTTTTCCATGGGCTGCATATCACTTGTTCCTCCTGATTTTCTGACTTGGTGTCTCTAAAACCAACCATTCAGTGCAAATCACCTTTCTTGGTATTTAGGTTTTTAAAAGTCCAAAAGAAGGTACAAGGATATGCCACTGTCCTGAAGTGTTGGTTAAATTCAACCTGAAGACAAGAACATTTCTACCAATTAAAATGCGTATGCTCAATTCATTGACTAACACGGACCTCACTTAATGTGATTGATCAGGAGTTTTTAACTATGAGTTTTTAAGTGTTGTTAGTGGATGATAAACTCCAGTCCAGGGCCTCCTCCTGCAGCTGGCAGTGAAGACGGTGTTGCTGTGAAGGCAGCTGGGAGCTCAGAACTAGCTGGGTGTGACCAGACCCCTCATTGGCAGAAAAGTCCACCTCCCCAGCACTTAGTACAGCCGACAGGCAGAGGGAAGTGAGGCTCGCCGGGGCATGAATAACTACTGTACCATTTCACTGAGCCTAACTTCCCCCAAAGCCTCCTTATTATGAAACCAAGTCATATTCCTTTCAGTCTACTACTTGTATAAGCCTTTGCAGTCTTAGAACTGAAGGATAAGTAATACAGTTTTCCACATATACTTATTCACAATAAACGTTGGCAGGAATGATCTTGGTTGATCTCTAATTCTTTGAGTTTCATTTTCTTATTCAATTGCAGAATTAAAGTATCCATAGTCACTTTACCTTTTCCCCAAAGTTTATAATTTTAAAGGAAATGGCAGATGTAGGGATGCATTATGTGTTAAATAAGTGTCAAAAAGGAATGGCAATTGTCTTACTTATTTTTCTCTCGTTACTGAGACAAAAATAGCCAACACCCCAAGTTAAAAGGGGAAGGGTTGATTTGATGCACCGTTCGTAGAGTTTTCCATCCATAATTGTCTGGTCCCAAGGGAGTATGGAGAGGGTCAACAGCTCATGGTGGCAGGAGACAGCAAAAGCCACCACAGACCTTAACGGCATCTTTCTGCCCCTTTTATCTCATCCAGACTCCCGGGATTAGGGTCGTACCAAACAAATCACTCACATTTAGTGGTTTATGTGCTATCTGGACTCTAATGTTATGTGTTTTCATTTGTGTTCTCAAAATAATAAGTCAGTGTGATTCAGGATGACAGTTTTACCACATTCACTCCTTTTCAACCCACCTACCCATTTGAAATTTTAGAAACTTTTAAGTACTGAAAGAGCTCTCTTTATCACTAAATCCTAACTGTAAATTAATTTTGTTATAAAATATAGGTTATTTCCAATAAGTATAACATAAAGACTTAAAATATTTTAATGGGAGGGGCTTTGAATGCATACTTTTTGCTTTATAAAATGACAATATGAACACAGGGAAAAATGAGAATCAGGGAGCTATGAGTAACCCCAATAGACTGTAAATCTAACACACTGCAGACCCAAACAGCAAGATTTGCTCAATAGGGAATTCCTACAAATGCGCAGTACCTAGCAGAGATGCACCTGATAATTCGCCACTTAAAGTATGGCCTGATCAGATCAAGGCTATTCAATGATCATAAACTGGGATGGTTAGTCACTCTTTTGCACTTGTTTTGATGGGTGCCTAAACATCAGTGTTAGAAGCCTTAAGGATATAATTACAATTCCAGCAAAATAACCCACTATTCATGTCATCTCCAGGAGCAAACAGGAAAGCATCACCTCTTCTGGAAATCTTCACCAGACAGAAACTAAGCATGAATGGTATTTTCTCTCTCTCCAGAGATCATGGCTAATGAGGAGGAACTGTTTATATTTCACTAAGAAAACTGATCACCGCTAACAAGAAAAGTCTATTTTGTGTCGTTGATGATCTACCAGAGATTCCTTATGATAGAGACCTACATTTACCCATAAAGGTTTGTGTTTGAGGATGAAGAACCAAGGAGCCTGTAACCTTGATCTCATCAGTAAGCAACCCAGGAAAGCAGGCTTCCACATCTTTCTCCTGGAAGACTTGAGCAGATGTTTTACACTGTCCTTCAGTGTGTGAACGTGTGTCTGTGTGTCCCTGTGTCTGTGTTGGTGCCTCTCTCTCTCTCTCTCTCTCTCTCTCTCTCTCTCATAAGCTGATAGACTAGAATCTTTCAATTAAGAGGGTGTTTTCAACACTTTCTACACATTTTGAATTAAAATACAGAATTGATAGGAACTTAAAGTATTCCAACTCAGAGAAAAAAGATGTCATTTGAGGGCAAATATTGACAAAGGATTTTTGTCCAGTTGACTAATTAAAATTTTAGAGAAGTAGATAAAATATTCAAATGTCCACTTGTATTACTTCATTTATTCATTGTCTTACAAAGCTTCATTTTATGCCATATACAATCATCCCTCTGTATCCATGGAAAGTGTGACAATTGTGGATGAAAACCCACATAGGCTCATGTCACGTCTATAAAATGGCATAGTATTTGCATATAAACTACATACATCCTCTTGTACATTCTAAATCATCTCTAGACTACTTATAATACCTAATACAACATAAAGCCTACCTAAATCATGGCCATACTGTACTATTTTGAGAATAAAGAACCAAAAATGATTGTACGTATTTGCTACAGACACAATTTTTTTAAAGTTTTTAATCTGTGGTTGGTTGAACTGATAGATCCCTGTACCATATAAGTAATACATTAGTTTAGAAATATTACTAATTTCCACGCTGATCTTTCACTAAGCAATCTTAGCCAGCCTCTTCCTATACATTTTCAACATGACTGTCTCAATAACCTCTAGAGCCAATTCTATATCTCATACGGCAATCTTCAAAGACATACCAATTTCACTCCCACCTCAAGGCCTTGAACTGCAACACTTTGAGTATTCTAGTAAGATTCTGTTGCACATTGCTGAAAACATACCCAGAGGCTGCCTAAGTATGCTTTCACACAACCCTGAAATAACTGTTTATTTTATTTTTTTAAGTGTGTGTCTTCAAAGTCCAAAATGTAGTCATTGATTTATTCTATTAATTTTAACGATGGCTAAAAACTTGTTTACAATGACTTTCAGAACTCTTAATACGATGTGGTACCCAAGAGATAACTGCAAAATTTATTTGCCTTGAGTTTTTACTGATGCAGCTTGATAACTACAATACTGGAAGCAAGTATTCATTAGGGTCATTTGCAACTAATGCGTTTTCCTGGAAAACAGTATTTTTTCAAAACAAAGTAATGGAGGAAAATCTCTGAAATAGAACCATCCTGAGAGACCTGACAAAAGGCAACTCACTATGTTTTTCCTGTGGGGTAACCTTGATCACTTGGGGCAGGTGTGAGATGGGCAGAGGTCAGCCACGGTCAGGAGGACCAACGTGCCCATCAGGCTCCAACAACTTAGGAGAAAGTACAACAATTTGTAGAAGCAGGGGAGGCGGGCAAATAGCACAACGGCTCCCTCAAGCCCAAGACAGAGTGCTGGGTGAAGCAAGCAGTGTACAGAAGCAGAAATGCAGCAGTCACCACTTGTTTGAGGCTGGACCTTTGCTTCGTTTCCCTTTCCTCTTCTAACCTCATCTCTCAGTTCCACCTTGGCCCAGGTAACTTGACTTTTTCCAATCATATACCCCACTCATAAGTCTCTTGGTGCTCGGGCTAATGCGGAAGCGGCCCCTTAAATAGTCCCTCCTCTCCTTTAGCCATTTCTTAAGAATTCTGACTTCCTTATCTTTCCTCTGTCACCTTCATAACCCACACATTAGTACGAGTATCTTGGAAAAAGGTCCGGGCCTCCCACTAGCTTCCTGTGCCTTGTGGAGTCTCTCTATCCCTGTTCCTTCTCCTGAAAGCTATTCTGCCTTATCCTCTCTCCATCTTGAGGCCTTCGTGCTTATTTAGCTCCCAGGCCCGAGACATACAGGGCACCACCAGCCAGCAGTTCACCTCTGTCAGCTCCTGCCTCTTTCCAGCTCAGTCAGATCCTGGTTTATCTGCTGTTCTAGGGGAATTTTAGAAACCAGAAGCTGTGATACAGATTTGGAAAATGTCCAACCGAAAGACAATTTTTCACATGAATAACGAAAAGGATGCCCTTTGTTACGTCTAGCTTTCTAACGATGCTGTCTGGTTAATTGCTTCCCTTGCAATGGCCCTAATGATCCACAGATATAATAAGTGCGACCCTCACTTATTACCCCAAGGGAGAGATTTATAAAAGGAGAAAGATTTATGTAATCTGAAGAGAAACCAGAGTATGAGTGAGAGATTTATACAAAGCACAGTATGAGAGGTAACCCAAAGGCAAGAAAACTGGGGAAACGGTGTTTAATGTAAGCCTTTCTGAAAATTCATCATCACTTTTGGATTCCTCATCTTGTTATGGGTTCTGAAGAGCCCTGCAGTAAAAATATCTCTTTCAATTTGTTTAACCTGGAATTTACAAAGGTATTTGAAGTTCTATCACTTGTGGGTAGATGTCCCATTTCTGACAAGCAAGAGCATCCTGTCTGATCCTGGGGAGGCTCAGTCTTTCCATCTCTTCAAACCCCAATGTGGAGGATGCTTTCCTTTATTCTGTTGAATTCGATGTTAACATCATCTTAAAATACACAGCACCACAAACGCCACTTACCACCTGACATAATGTAACCACACGAAGCCACGACTCCAGCCAGCACCCTGGTCAGCTCACTATTCTGAGACTTCAGTCTTTTTGTTGCTGTTGTTGGTACTGGGGATCGAACTCGGGACCCTGTGCTTGTGAGGCAGGCAGCAGAACCACTGAGCCTGAGACTTCAGTCTTGTTCAGAACGCCAGTGATAACCTGGATTGGGGGATAACCGAGACCCCCAAAAGGACTGTGATTTAGGGCACGATAGTTCCTGTGCCTCTTACGAAGCTATTATCTCTCACCTCTAAACCCACTCTTCCATCGCCTTTGTGAAGTAAATGTTGACATATGCATATTTGATTTCTGTAGGAAGACAGCTGACAATGTAGCAAGCTCTAGTCCTGGAATCAGCCAATTGGGGTCTGTGACAGACTAACAGGCAGGTGGGGGAAAGAGATCTTGTCCATTCCATTCTTCCCAGTAGCGGAATCTCAGGAACCACATTTTGCCTGGCAGTGCTAATATCTCCAGCAGCAGTTGTTTCCAGTTTCCTAGACTTTCCACACTGGCAGTTTGTGTTTCCTGCCCTTCCTTCATCACACCAGCCCATGCCTGACAATGCCACCCCTGGGACAATTTACCCAGCACCCTCAGTTTATTCTGGCTGTTGGTTTCAGTTCATGGTTGGCTCACTCAAAAGCAGACAAAGGAAAACAGACACAGGTGGGCATGGCCGAGGAAAACGATCTCAAGCCATTGTAGCCAGGAAGGAGAGAGAGGAGGAGTCAGGAACAAGAATGCACCCTTCCAGGTCATGCCCATGACCGGCCCCTTCGGACAAGGACCCACCTCCCAATAGCACCTTTAGCTCTGAACTCATGCTTGGATTCATCCAGGATGAGCACAGAGCCCTATGGTCCGATGACCTTCCAAAAGCCCCGCTTCTGCACACATGAGGTTCCTGAGGAAAAGCCTAGGCTGGCTCTAGGGTGTGTGATACTGAGACTATGGGCGTGTGGTACTAAATTAGCCCACTGTGGATGGGAAGGGCTATCCTGGGAAAGAGAAGGGAGGGTTGCTGTCGCTGCTTGCTGCTGACCACTGCGAGTTCCCGGGCAGCTTGGCCTACAGAGTGAGTCCAAGGTCAGGCTGAACTGCATGGTGAGGCCCTGTCCCTAAAACAAACAAACAAACAAACAAATCTCCACCTCCAACACCCATCCCACCCTGGAACCCCGATGGACAGTTGGGATGGCTCGCTGGAGGCCGCTGAAGTGATAAACCACCAGCTCCTGCTGCAGGGAGGACACAGAGAGGACAGGAAAAGATGCCAAGGTTGTCACCTGGTCCTCCCAGCAGAGGAAGCCGGAATCCTGGCAAGCTGACACCCCTAACTCACACTGGGGGAAGAGGGGGGCAGCATCCAAGCTTGGGAAGGGCGGGGCCTCGAGGGGAACAGTAACCATTGTGACGGCGCCACAGGCTTCGGTGTCCAGCCGGGGCCCCCCTTGCGGTCCGCAGGAGGCGCCCAGGGGCGCCGGGCTCTGGACATGTGTCTCCCCCGCGTCCGGGACGAAGAGCCCGCCCAGGTCTACCCTGTGAGTGTGGGGCTCCGCGCCCCGTCCCAGCCCTGACTCCTACCCAAGCTGCGGGTCTTTGGGTTTAAACAGTGATCAAGTGGGGGGCCGGAGGGGGTACTTAAAGGATTAAAAAATGCTTTAGGATTAAAGGATGAGAGTCAGCAGGGGAGAACCTGGTAAATTTACAACCCAAGCCTCTTGGGCACGCCCCGCAGTCACCGCAGATTTCCCAGGTGCCCGGTGACTGGATTCCCCCGTGAAAACCAGGGGTGCCACAAAGATGAAACACCGCCAAGAATGTGATTTTTTAAAAATAAAATGTGAACTCTCCCCCTAAATAAATCTCAGATCTCTACCTGTCCCCTGGAATTTAGTTCAGAGCTGCTTCTTTTTTTCCCATGATGCTGTTTCCATTCTCCCACTCTAGTTTTAGCTCAGATTGTTGTTATTTTGATTCTGTGCTGTCTCTATTCTTTGGTGTGTTCAAGTGTGCATTTTAATTTTGTATATTATGCAGGAAGGACCAAGACATCCTCACCCTTCACAAATCACTACGAGACAGGTAATGTTTAAATAAACTAAATGCTGGTTGTTTCGACCTTGTGCTTTTGACGTATTCCTTTCTGTGTGGTGTCACCTCAGGGTGCAGCAATGTTATTAATTGGACACTTCTGTGATATCTTTCTTAAAACAATGGAATCTCAAAGTCCTATTGGAATGGGTTTTAGTCAAGGTGAATTAAATAGCTTCTAATGTCATGTTAAATATAACATCTGATGCATACACAAACACATATGTATAGGATTATAATGTGTAAACTATAGTAGTACAACTATTTCCACTTTGAGAATGAAACCATTCCAGTATACCTGAACCTCTTTGGGGACTTTCCTCTCTATGTGCCTCCTTACATCTCTCTTGGAGGTAACTACTGTTTGGAATTTTATTTTTATCCATCTCTTCCTTTTAAAAGATTTGTCACATGTGTGCCTCTGAACTTGTAGTTTTGAGTTGCGGTTGCTTTTAAGTTTGTAAACATGTAATCATACAAAATTCAGTGTATGTTTTATTCTTTCTTCTCAACATTGCTCCTAAAGTTAGTCTGTGTTCCTGCCCACGCTTACACTTCCTTATTTTCACTGCTTTTTAATATCTCAGTGTAGAATGTATCAAAGTTCATCATCTTTTCTCTTATTCACGGGTATCAGGTCAGTTCCACAATTTCCTACTGTGAACATCTACGAAGTTTCTTTTTTTTAACCCATGTACACAAGATGTTCATTTGGTTATTTAGGCATAATGGAATCTAAAGTATAAGGCAAGCAAATTTGTCATTGTTTTAAAAATAATGGTACACTGTTTTGGAACATTTTATACTAATTTACATTGCTGTTGGCAGTGAATGAGTTCTCATTTTTCATTATTTTTATTTGTTTAGATACAGTGTCTTGCTGTGTAGCTCAGGCTGGCCTTGAACGTGCAGTGATCTTGCATTAGCTTAAAGGCATGGACCACCGTACTCTCTTCCTCATATTCTCTGTTTAATACCACATTTTATTATGTTCAAAGCACTCTAGGGTAATTGCCTAGATCTCCCGTTACTTGCAGATGTCATACAATGGAGACATAAAAAGCCAGGTATAAAATGCAACATTTAAGAGGAAGAAATAAAAGTACTTGTTTTCTTATTTCTATAAAGAAAATGTCTTTGATGATTTTAAATACTCACGTTCAAAATAAAATGAAGCATACATACCCATAAATCTGGATTTATGGAAATATGCAGGGTGTAAAAGTGGGAATCAGCACTAAATAGTCTCCTTTGAAACCCTGGGGATGCACCAAGTTTGGCTTTTTTTTTGTTTGTTTTGTTTTGTTGAGACAGAGCCTTGGCTCCAGTTAAGGCTGGCCTTGAACTTGCAGTGATCCTCCCACCTCAGCCCCCAGGCAGTTTGGTTTGTTTGCTTGTGCCTGACACACTCAAAGGAAAGGGATTTTTCCTCTTCCATCAGTTATACAAATCACTGTTGATTGTTTTTATCTCATTGATACAAAACAAAAATATAATCAGTGCATTTCATGTATATGTTCTAAAGAATATGATTTGCTTCTTTCCATTTTCACAGTCTGCAGATAAGCGCATTATTTACATGCGCAACCTCAGGAAAGAGAAGAGGAAATTAAATAAGCAGTTTATGAGACCAGCTCCCATGCCAGAACCGGGTCTCCTGGTAAGTGTGGAGCTGTCCCTGAAATTAACAGGTCCCTAACCCAACTGACAGCCTCACATTCAATCGAAGTGTTATTTTGTCCTATTTCCCTTGAGAAATGTGTAATTTCAGACGGGAGGTACCATGAACCTCGTCTGCTCAAGTCCTCAGTATTTAGCTCTCCCATCCACAGGTGTCCCCTGGGGTCCGTGGTCTAATGTAAAACAGCGTTTTCTGAAACCACGTCCTGTTGGATTCCAGTTGCTGTGTTGACCATGTTCATGGCTGTCCGAGCTTATTCACTTCCACCTTTTCGATTACATTGTTTGGAAAATAAAGTATGAAATCTCCTGACAGTTATTGAGCTTTCAGTTCGACACCTGAAATATCAGAAAACTCTGTAAGGATCACAATTTATTCCATTGTTGTCAAGGGTTTCAAAGTTCTAACATTATGATGTGTCCATGGTCCTTTTACAGGTGGTATTATTTTATATTGCTTGTAACGTGGTAGAAATTAATGGCACTTTTACTTGAAGGTTCCTCAGATAATTAAGGGCAACTGTTACTTTCCTCCAACTCCTGACTTTTCTGCAGGGTAAAAATCCAGTTTCCTTGTTCAGTTCTCTGGGGAGCCCTGATCTTTCTCAGTCCGTCTCCAGATCAGGCTTACATTGCCAATAAAGAGAGTCTGGCTTTCTAGAAATTCTTCCTGCTTGCAGTGTTTGTAGTCTGATTCAAAGAGAATATATTTTATATCATGCCCATGTTCACATAAGATTCATTCACTAAGAAGGTTTTCTAGCTTTCACCTGAACAGGACTCTACTTCAATTTAGAATAGCATTTCCCAGAGAAAATGCAATTGCCTCAGACATATATGAAAAAGTGTTTGACATCACTGGCCATGAGCGAAACACGAACTGAAACAACAGTGAGATTCCCTCTCACTCTAGAAAGAACAGTCATCACCAAGAAATCCAATAATAACTAATGTTGTTGAGGCTGTAATGGATGGAGAAGGAACCCCTACATTGTTGGTGGGAGTGTAAACTAGAGCAAATCATTTCAGAAAACAGAGTGGAGATGCCTCAAAAACATAAAACTCGATATTCCATTCCATCCAGTTATTGTCTTGCTGGGTATTTTCATGACAGAGGAAAGACATCACGACAGGGTTCCACGTGTACCCCCATTTATAGCAGTGCAATTCCTAATACCCACATTTTACAAGCACCCCAAATGTGGATCAGCAGAAAAATTGATAAAGCCTGGTGTACTTTACTCTGCTGTAAAGAAAGTTAAACTTGAGTCATTTGTAGGAAAACAGATGCACCTCAAAAACATAACAAGTGAAATAAATCAGACGCACACGTTTAAACACAATATGGTTTCTCTCATGAGAAATCCAAAGTATAAATAATGTAGAAAGTAAAATAAAAGACAGATAAAAGGAAACAGGGAAATAGATGGGCTGCAAATGGCAAAGAGACAGAGACATGGAGGAAGAGGGGAAGGGAGAAAGAGGAGGACATAAAAAAGAATTACAAATATGTCACATGTATGTTCCACCATGAAAGTCATGATTAAGTATTACAAACATGTACTACTAAAAATAAAAAGAATAGCATCTGTAGTTGAAGATTGTTATATGCAATACTATTTGCATACAAGACTTCATCTTGACAGATTTTTCTAGATAATTTATAGTTGTGTGAGCTTTTCCTATATATTACATTTTAATTGGATTTCTTTTATTTGTGTCTTGTACTTTTTTCTAGTGGCCATCTTGATGAAGCTCGTTGTTTATATGGAAGAAATCATGATCCAACCCAAAATACATGGATTTTTAACATCGAGTGGCATATCATGGTTTGACTTCATTGAAAAATAAAGGGAATACTCTGCCATTTCAACAAAATAAACACAGTTCAACAAAATAAACATAGTGCATTCATTTAACAACCAACCGAAAGCTCTCAAATTTTATAAACACCATACTACTTCTTTCTTCTCTTTGGTACATTTGAGATTTTTTTATTTAAAAAAATAAACTTAGACTTTTGAAAATAATATTCCACTCATGTTTACATTTTTACATTGACTTATGTTGATATGAAGATGTATGCTTTAATAATAATAGAAAATAGATTCACGTTGCATATTCATAATGACTTGTGGTTAAAATTTTTAAAATTTTAAACAGTCCTAGGAGAGTTTTCATGTAGCTAAAGCCTCTGCAGTGTGTTGATATTGCAAATAAGTAGTAGAGTATAATTTCCATTAGGGTAAAAGTTGGATACTGAATTAAAATTTTAAATTTGTGCATAAAATAAATTATATGTCTTTCTAAAATGCTTGCTTGTTAAAATGCTTAATTACATAAGTAATTTCTAAGTCACAGATGGAATAATCACAATTGTCTTCTACATGAAAGAACCACCAACTACTGGACCATGCAGTGTACTTGATACCTGATTTGCAGTGTCCAATGTACAATCTCTTTTTCTTGGACCAGCCCAAGAAAGCTGACCGAAACTGAAATAGAGGAGTCTGCCGTAATCCACCAGGAGACCGTCCCAAAACCTCAGGGGATGCCAGAACTACATTTAATACTGAATACTATATACAGTAGGCTTTTTTATACATGTTTCATATGATAGTTTAATTTATAAATTAACATAAGAGACTCATAACGAAAGCTTTTAATAAAATAGAGCACAACAATACATTGTAGAAAATGTTATATAATATGGAGTTTTTCTCTCTCTTGAGAATGTTAAGGCAGCTATTAATATTTTCAGACCCTGGTTGAGTAAGGGTAGCAGAAATTGTGATAAGTGAAACCAAGAATGAAAGGAGACCACTGTGATCAGACTAACCCACAATAATTGTTCACCAGGACGCAGGCAACACTTCAGGGGGAAACTACAAAATCCAGAAGCGTAACATTCACAGTGTCTTCTATCGAAGAAAAAATTACTATGCATGCCCACATGTGAAAAAACAAAACATTAATCAGGGGAAATCACGCCCTGGAAACAAAACAGAGGGCAGAATTAGAAAAAATAAATATATTAATTGCTTAATAATGAAAAATATGATCAGAAAGAAGAGACAGAAAGGTATTAAAATAATTCAATGGGCCTTACAGAACTGAAATTTAAAATTCTGATGTTTAAAATTTTACTACAGGAAATGAACAACATACTATATTAAAAACATAAAATGTTGAAATTGAAGACACAGAAGCTACAGCCACAGAAACAATCCAAAAGACGTGGGGAAATGATCAGAGCAGCACTGGCCTTTAAAAATCACATCCTGTACAGGTCTATTTGTATTTGAGTTTGTCCAAAAGGGTGGGATGGGAGTGAAAACAACATCTCCAGAACTTCTCCAAAATCAATGAAAAATAACCCACCTATCTGAAGACTTTAGACACCAAGCAAAGTGAAGGCCAGTCCTCCCCAAATTATTTTGTAATGAAATTTCTGAAAAGCATTGGAAATTACATAAGACACAGCAGAGGGTAGGTTCTCAAAAGCAGAGAAAAGGAGGCAAGGACACCACAGACCCCACTGGAAGTGATGCAGAACAGAAGGCGGTGGAAAGATGCCTTTGAAGCACTGACAGGACAAAGTCAAACTCATGTCAACTTAGGTTTTATATGAAGCAAAGTATCCTTTGAAACTGAAGACAAAAACGAGATTATTTTTTCAAAACACAAAAACCCAAATAAGTTTTCAGCGGCAGACCTGGAGGAGGAAGTTCTCTGAGTGAAAAAAAAAAAAAAAGTGATACCAGAAAATGTTTTGAATCCATAGAAAACAATGAGCTCAGGAAATGATAGGTGTACAAAAAACACACAATTACTTAACTTTTAACTTTTTTAATCAAATGATTTAAGCAAAATTAAAGTGCGGTAGGATTTGTAACTTGCAGGAAGAGGAAAATGTATGACAATAATCACGAGGTGGGAGCAGGCAGTACAGTTATTAAAGTTTTGTGTTCTTTATATAAAAGCTATATTTGACAGTTCATTTGACGAGCTTAAAGATACCCATTGTAAATAAACACAAGAGAACCATCAAAAGTAATAAAGAGGCGCAGGCAGTATGGAGTGCTAAAAATTCCTTCAAATGAAGACAGAAATGAGAAAGGACTGATGTGAAAATAAATACAAATGCCCAAGTGACATATTTAATTTCAAATTAATCAATAACTATATCAGATGTAGTCCACGAGCTCCAACTAAACATCATTGCCATGAAGGTGAAAGGATTTGAGATCCCACTCTACTTAGAAGGGAAATGTTTCACAGTTTCATAGATGCTGGCAAAAGACAGACTACCAAGCAGAATGAAGATCTTTCTTATTCCTGGCACAGCCAGCAGCATCAAATGCAGGTTTACCTTTGTGTCTCTGATTCCCAGTCCCCTGAGACTATGAAGACCTGTGCCCCGTCAGATGTTGTGCACACAACGGTTTTCTGTCAGACAGTCCCTACCTTACCCTGCTAGCACACCTACCCAACTTTTGCTCAGGAGAGAGACATAATCTCTATTACTCTGGACAGGAAGCACATCTACTCTGAAAGGAGTTTCTACCCAGTTTTCTACCACACAAACTTCACGGAAGCTACTCCAGAGCGATAGAATAAAATAAAAGTGAACCTTAAGACTTTTGGTTAAAAAACATACAGAAGCAAGAAGGAGCCATGGAGAATTTTACATCACACATTTTCAAATGTAAATGATCTTTTAAAAAGGTCCATAATCAGGAAGAAAACGCTGAAATCCGGTCAAACTGATGGAAACGTTAACGTTGGTCATTAACACTACACCTAAGATAGCTGTCTGCATTGCGTTTTATGCCACAAAATGAATAAAAATAAAAATAATAAAATGCTAATATAAACTAATTAATTTATAAAATCTGAAAATATCAAGCTTGATGGTAATGCAAGATAAACTCTCACCTGTATCTCCTAGCAATGTGAAATACTTTCCTAGTTGGAAGTTCAGCAACTTCAAACCATTAAAAAGAATAAAACATTCCTTAATGTAATAACATGAATGAATCTCAAAAATATCAGGCCATATTTAAAACTTGCACCTTGTGTATTCCATGCATGTGAAAATTGTTACAGGGTGTAAAGATATTAGTGGTTGCCTAATCCAAGCATAGAATAAAAGATTGGGAAAGAATTTGGGAACTTTTTGAAATGATCTTTTGTAAGTGATTCTGAAGTGATTACACTAGGAATGATTACACAGTGCACACTCTTATTAAAACCTCATGAATTAAAGAATCATGAATGCTACATGTATAAAATCTGTAAGAATATACATAAAATGCTGTTTTTTTCAGTCACTTTACATCCTACCTTTTTGTAAAGTTTGAAAATTTCCCAACAAATAGGAGTAACTAATAGAGTGCAAGGACAAATTGAACAGAACTCAGTATTACCTGTGGACTCACTAGAAATGAATCTCAGGTTTCACCTAAATCAGCATCATCGATAGTGTAACCAGGTGTTCCACAGGCTCTTTCAATGCGCAGACAGGAGAAACCTGAAGAGTTTCCGCTAAGGCGGACATGCACGCTAGCCCTTCCGGCACCTGCTGGGAGCAGGTGTTTCCGGGCCTAAGGCCCGTCGCGTGAGGCGGGGCGGGGCGGGCCAAGGCCCTGCCCAATCCGAAAGGGAAATTCTCTCAGTGGGCGGAGCCATGAAGTAGGAGGGTGCGGCTGACCAGAGACTTGAGATGCGGATTGGACATTGTTTCAGGAGGCGGGGCTTAGCGGTTGTGGAAGGCGGGTTGGAGTAGAGAGGGCGTTGTCACAGAGGGCGGATCCTTAAAGAGGAGGGGGTGAGAAGGCGGGGCGCGTGGGGGCGGAGCCTAAGGGCGT